ACCCTTAAGAAATCTCTGGCCATATCGGAGCCAACTGTGGATGTTCGACAATTCATAGCATCCCCTCCAAGCCAAATCGCCAACTCTCAAGACTCTAAAGTACCAGCCCTTTTTGTATACCTTCTGAATATCGTCGCCAAAGCCATCATAGCGCAGCTCATGGCAGAAGCTGGTGTAAGCACAAAATACGCTGAACCTCTCGGCGTGCTTGCAGCTCAAATCTTCTCCATGGATTCCTTTTTATTCCAGGGACACACAATGATAGATATCCTGATAGCCAAGTATCGAGTTCTTTGCCCGGCTCTCTGGGGTTTCTACGGCGACGAAGCATCTGATGCTGGCAAGACCGCGCTAGGATGGTGGAGGGAAGAAGCAGGCGGTCCATTCGTGAATCGGCAAGCGCATGAGGAGCGCATGACTGGTTTGGGGGCTGGCTTTGCTGCAATCGCCCTCCGAAATTTCTCTAAATCACCTCGTCAGAATCCATATCCTAACTCCCATTTCTGGACAAGCCTATCATATATTGTGAATGTCCCACCGGCAGAAGTCCAGGATACTCATCTCATCATCCTAGAAGCGATGCTGCGCCATTCTGCTCCTCGAATCATTGGTTTCTGGGGGGCTATGGGGATACTTGCACTCCGGCAGGCGATTGTCGAATTCCCGGCCAGGATACCCAAAAAGTCAACCCCTAAATCGATGGTTCAGGACCTACGGGACATTTATGCGAGAGAGAAACGCGTTATAATATGATGCTTTTACCCCAAACTTTGCAATAATTTACAAAAAAAGAAGAGAAAGAGAAAGGAAGTTTGGCATAGCGCCTGGCCATTTCAATATATAACTTTTCAACCCTTAGCCAACGCAGCGTGTGACATGGCGGTGTGATAGCGGTTAGGAGTTGGTAACCGCGATAGAATGCTTTTGCAAGAGTGTTACTATACTGATCTAACTTTGTGAGGAGTATTAACGAACCCCTATTCTAATGTTGGCAAATCTGGAAAAAAGCAGGCCAGCATTTCCAGTGCATTTAAGATGCGCTTTTCAGTAATAGGGGGGATGCATACAATATAGCATCCCATCTGGCCATTCATCCAAAAATGCCTTGTGAGGAACAACAGCTTTTTGTAACAGACCCATCACACCAGGCATCAAATTGCCATAGTGACATATTGGGATGAGGGTTTTGTTTCGGTATAGTGCTCTTGTCATGCAATACCTCCTCTATTCTAGATTATTGTAGCTAGATTTTTTTCTCAAGGCATATTTAGCTTTAAGCAATTCAATAGCCCAGTGAATGTCTGGTTATGCAGATCCAAACACATAGATTCTCAGCAAGCAGCGCACCAAATCATACAATACAATACTGTAAGTGTGTATGCATGATAGTTCATGCCCCTGGTCAACCATCCTGAAACAAACCTGATACATACATGTTGAGTACGGAGTACTGATGGAACCCAGCAGATATGAGAAGTCACTAGGCACAGGATATATAGTTATATATCAGCCACCAGTTTGGGACGAAGAAAATGCCTTGTCGTACTGCCTTGCTGGCCATCCAACGTTGTTGTACTTTTGAGGAAAAGAGAGCAAGGTGGAGATGTCTTGCCAAGTTGCACACCACTGTTACATAGCTTCTGCTACAATGCTTATCTCGAGACTCAAAACAACCACCACGAGGGTTCAGCCACCCGGCAAGTCGTCCATTTTCTTGATCTAGAGTATGTAGGCTTCGACTTCTTTTCCGTTTTGGGCTACAAGTCGCCGGGCAACTCCTTCAGAGATATCTAATGATTATCTCCAGTCGGCCGTAATAACCAAAGATTCAGCACCCAGCTTGGCAACCGAACATGTAAGTTTCGACATCCATACCATAATTCCAAATCCGTGAACTGACAGTTGGGCGAGTCGCAGCCATGTGGGGTTGACGGGTATTCACCAAAGCAGTAAGCCTTGGAAGCGTTTGGCAGCCGATATTCTGACAAGCTTCCCTCATGTTTCTCCTAGAACTTGGAAGGTTATCAATCATACTTATAGGGTGTAACTGTTTAACTACCTAGGTACCTAGGTAGTTAACTATCAAAAAAAAGGGCCTTCTATTTATTAGTGAACTGTCAAATGTAGCTCAGGGGTTCCGCCCGATGCTCTGTATCTGTTCTGCCCCAATCAACGCCGCCTGTTCTAGCTTCTCTGGCTGGCCATCCATGTCAACCTTGCCCTGCTTGCATCAAAGAGGGTTATAGCGGACGGGGGCCAGCGGCAAGACCACACTATCCACTAACTACGGAGTACGGAGAAGTTATTCCCCTCGCTCCTCTCGGGACGCTAAGCATAACTATACGAATCCCTTTATAAAATACACCAATCGATTGTCTCAACTTACAAAAAAAAAAGTCAAAAAGAAAAAAGAAAAGAAAGAACAGCCAGTTGGAAAATGAAAGGCAAATTTGCAAACTACTCACTAACAAGTCCCAATTATTTTTCACACAGAAAAGAGCGCAAGCCTCTTTGGTGATGTTCCGTGCTCCTTGGCTCCTTTATGCTGCCCTCTCATATCGGGCTGGGCTTGTATTGCGGTGGAGGCAAGCGTACAACTCGTCCGAAATCACCACGCATGCAGAAAACCGAGGGACAAGTTGGAAGTCGAATGATTGGCAACTTGAGAAAGTTAACACTTTCAGAGCAGCCTCAATCGTTAAACCGTCTTTGTCCCCTGACCCCTCCCCCCCACCCCCGACACGTTGCTCCCGAGGGGTTGATCTGATTTCTGAAACTTTATAGAGGAAGATATTTAGATACATACAGCTTTTGGGAAGCATATAGCCCTTTGGTATCCCTAATGTGGCCCCCATCAACTCTACCTCTAGTTCTCTTCACTGCGAAAGCCTCCGGTCATCTATCTCTATATGCGCAACACGTATTTCGAGGCGGTGTTTTTTGATCTCCCCTCATAGGAGAAAAAGGAGAATTGAAGTGGCTTTTACTTGTCCTTTGGCATTTTTCATCTTTCATTATTTTATGCATTTTTTTGAAAATAATAAATGAAATCTTGTTGGCTTTTTTGGATCGTATAAAGGATCTACACCAAACCACCATCATGGGCCGGAAGGTCAAAGTAAAAGGCCAACAGCAAGTTTCTTATTCTAAGAAATACTCTACAGCTATGTCAGACTCGGACGGCGGAGACATCAGGGACGCAAAAAAGAGGTATGTTTTAACTCTTCCCTTGGAGCCCAATCTTTTCGTCACTTATTGACCATCGATGGTGTGTTTATGAAGGGAATATAATCGCAACGCACAACGAATGTTCCGTAAGGCTCACTAGCTACCCTATATATTCTCCTCCAGTTAGCTATTCATCTTAAGGGCACCGCCTAACCAATTTGAAATCTCGAATAGGGAAACGACGAAAAGAGCATATGAAGAGGCTCGAGCTCGATACAGAAGAACTAGAACGTCTGAAAATCGAGAACGCAGACCTCCGCCAAAAGAACGATTCACTCCTAAGATTTGGGGGTTCAGCCTGTAGTTCTCCTAGATTGCCTGGAACAAACGGCACCCACAGTCCGAGCCCTTTACTATCCATAGAGCACCTCGTACCGGGCCCATTCGGCCAGATGATTAGCAGGGCCTCCCCTCCTTATATATTTGGCAGCACAAATGCACTTCAAACGTCCCTTAACATGCATCCTTCGCCATGCTCTTCCGTAGTAGCAGCAACCATCGAGCCTAGTTCTCCTGACCGATACTGCTTGATTACACCACTCAATCTCTCACAAGTCCGCGTCGAGATGCACTCACGCTTCCACCCACTTCTCAACATTGTGCAATCGAATGGAGCAGTTCCAGAACCCCATCTACATTATATAACTTTGGCAGGCCTAGCTCCTTCTCTACCGGACGTCTTGAAACCAACACCTCTTCAACTCAGCGTGCCACATAACGCGTACATTGATCTCTTACCTTCTCAAATGCTACGGAACGCCTTAATACGCCTTGGAGTTACCACATCCACGGCATTTTTGGATGAAGTGTGTCCGTTTTTATATGATGGAGAGGACCATGGGCAGTTGATCATCTGGGGAGAATATCTCAACGAAATGGCATGGCAGTTTTCTGATATGGTTCTGGATCAATGGCAAATGGTACTTTCTCCTGTATGGAGAGAGAGGGCGAATTTTTGGCAACACCAACAAAGAAGCCCTCCAAACCCCTCGCTCACGTCCTTTGCGTTGTGATGCTGTTGGACTATCTCCCTCTCTTTCTACTTAAGTGTTTCTTCTAATTGCAGGCTAAAGGTATTCTCTTTAATGCTTTTTTATGTTCATGGTCCGGCGTACTTCTACTTTTTCACAGGGAACAAAGAAGGGGGGCTGGTGTCAATCCTAAATTTTGTGATGGAAATTAACAGTTAGTTAGATTAGGTAACTTGAAGATATCAAAAGCCTTCTTCTTCTTTTCTGTTTAAAAGGCATTTAGTTCTTGCCACTTGTGTATCTATGGTTGCTAATGATTCTGTTCCTGTAGAATATCTTCGAACGAAGGCTCGAGATTTCCAGGGCTCTCTCTCTATAACTAACTACTCCTTGACCTACGTTTAGTGATTGCATGATGGTATCGGCAACTAGCGACCAGCTTTGTCTATCACTATTGCCTTGTTTCGGAGACCCCGAGGATACCTAGCATAGAATTTGTCGGGGTAGCAGAACAAGTCAATTTCCCAGAAGCTGAAGAGAGCTATTGAATGACCAAACCCTTTGGACTGAGTCCCCCGATGAGGCTGAGAGGGGAAGAATCACACTAACTCATACAAACCAAAACCGCAGATTAAATTACGACTTGGCGGTCGTTTTCGGGCGGTCATTTTCGGAACCGGCCTACAACGGTTAGAAGGGAAATAATAAAGCAAACTCTAATTAACATTAAAAACTCAAAGGGAAAAAAGAAGCAAAAATACAAAAAAAAGAGAAACAAAAAAAAAAAAAAGGCGAATGAACCGCCCGAGGTGGGGCTCGAACCCACGGCTTTTCGCTTAAAAGGCGAACAGTCTAACCAACTGACTTACCCGGGCTGATATGTTCTTGTCCTCCCAGTGTCGACTTATGCCCGTCTCAAGGGTTGTTCCACTTAAATTATTAAAATCCCAACAACAGACGTCCAACTACTCTGTCTGATACTAGGTAATTAAATTAACCCTTATCCAAGCCCAAACAAGCATGACAGGCATATCTGGGCCAATTGTTACGATGCAATCCCTTAATTATCGATAAGTCGCTCGGAGTATTCTGTAAGACTATTGCTAGGATACAAGTTTGGCTCAAACCTGTCTGCCGACTACCAAATAAACGATATGAAATCTGGCTTTTCTAACTCTTAAAAAGAGTTAGAAGAAATAACTATTAAAATGAGAATTCGATTCGGTAGGCTCGACGACAACAAAGGAAAAATTAGTATAACGATAGATGTCCATCAAGAAGTCGGTTCCATCTAAGCTCGTAGCATATGGAAATCCTGATGTTAAGAAAAAGGTGATAATAAAATGATAAAATGACAGGAATGATGGAACTAGAAGGTGTAATTAATATACAGGAAGAGGAAAAAAAGTATTAAAAAAACGGAAATAAAAAAATCCACCAAGATACGTAGGGATATGCTACCAATTTAAAGATGAAATATCCAGAAATGTAATACAAATGAAATAGAATAAACTGGGTATAACAAAGGAAATAAATGGTCATGAGTATAGACCTCATCATTCAGCTTGGGGTCTGGTATTTCGGCGCCTTAAATCTCTGGGCCAAATGGGCCGTCATTCGGCCGAATTCTTCGTGGCGCAGGCATTATGCCGCTGAACATGCTATCACTGTCGTCCGCATACTCCCCGCCATAGCCAATGTTCTCTTCTGCATCGCGGTCATAGCTTGATTTATGCAGTAGCGGCGGAGTCGTGGGAGTCACAAGCGTGTTTCCCGACCCACTCCGGCTGCTACTGACGCTATTACTGATGTTTGTATTGCTATTGGACCTCAATGGTCGACTCTGAGAGTAGTTCTGCCGCGCGGCGGTAGGGGCCCTCCTGGGATGATGGTCCCGCACATTTGAGCCTGGGGGCGTCATTAATCCAGATAGAAACCCCTGCGAGTCGGAGGTAGTTTTGGATGGGGTTTGTAGATCGTCAGCACTACTGTTGGCCCTAGTCGTGGTAATGATGGAAGCAAGAGAGCCCTCCCTTGCCTTTCGCCAATTTCCCCATGCTGCTGCCGCCGCCAAGGGTAGTGCACGTGGCGATGATGCTAGGTTCGAAATCGATGCTAGGCTAGGGAATTGCTGGCGGGTCCCGGACATGGTTCGTTCTCTCTCCTGCATCTGCATCTGCAGGTTGGCTTTGAGACGGATTGCAGCGTCACGAACGGAATTCTGGTCAAACGATGGTCGAGAAAGAACTGTGATGATATCTTGTAAGTCGTCAACGCGAACGCTCAGTAGCTCTCGAAGCCAATTGATCTCCGTTTCTTTCTCCTTGACGGTCGCAGGTGCATCTCTGTCAATGATCGAGAGTTCTTGCTCTAGTTCTTCAATTCGCGCCTCGCGTTGCTGTAACTGATCTTGCAATACCATAATGGATTCGCGCAGGGCCTGGGGAGATATCTTATCTGGTATAGTGGAACCTTGAGCGAAAGCCATTGATGGCAGCGTTGTTTGTACTGGTGAGTCAACTGGAGCGGGTTTGGCCTTTTGCGCTGCTTCTGCGGCTGCACGAGCTGCAGCAGTAGCTATTTGCAGTCTCTCTTCTAGATGATCCACCTTGTCTTGAAGATGATCAATCTTTTCGTCGCGCAACGCCATTACCTCCATATAATGGGATTCATCTCTCTGCCTGTCCTCAGAGGCATTATGCATTGCCCGAGCATGTCGTTCTCGAAGATCATTTAACGTGCGCTCATGTATAAGACGTTGATCTTGGAGAGCCTGATCTTTCGATGCCGTCGCTTCCTGAAGAGCAGAGTTTTTGGAATCTAAGGTATCTTTGAGAATGGTTTCATATTTTGCCTTTGCGGCTTCACCATCCATGCTGGCAGTGTTCAATGCGTTCTGAAAATTCGATATTTGAGCCTCAAGTTCGCTTCGAACTAAAGTAACTCGGTGGTTTGCTGCATCAAGATCAGCTCCCATCAAAATCCGAACTCGTTGGGTTTCAACGTGGCTGTTCTTAAGTGCCTCGTTAAAGTCGCGCTCGAACCGGGCTGCCTTATTTTGGTAGTCATGACTTTCTTGTCGCACAGTCATCAACAGCTCCTCTAATTTGGCGTTTTCTTCTTGAGACTGTCCTAATATAAACTTCAATTTCGCTCCCTCTCTCTCTTTCTCCTCTAGCTCGTTTATATGGGCTTCCAATTTTTGACGCTGTTTCGTTTCTCTCACATAGTCTGCGACCAGAGAATTATACTTGATAACCTGATCTTCTTCCTTCTTTCTCCACTGAGCCTGTTCAAGCGCCACGTCCCGCGTGACCGACATCATATCTTCTTGCAATTTGTCAAATCGCTCTCCCAATTTTTGTCTGTTATCTATATTTTCTTCCAGCTGGGTCTTTAGAATTTCGATGGTTCGGTGTAAATCCGCGTTTTCAACCTTGGTACGTTCGCTTTCAATTCGGAAATGATCACCAGATACTCTGTACTCATCTAGTCTCCCTTCAAGGCTGATATTTTTCTCGGAGAGCTCTGAAAGGGTGAGGCGTAAGATGTGTTGTTGTTCCTGGAACTCTTTCGACTGCTGCTCAGCCCGCTCCATCTCGGGAACCTTCGCATTCTTGAATTCTTCCAATGATTTCATAGCTGCTGATGCTTCTTCCCGTTGAATAGCTACTTCCACTTCTACAAGTTCTAATTTCCGCGTAACCTCTGCGAGGGCATCCTGTGCCGCCCTGCGAGAATTGTATTCATTATCGGCTCGCTCATCTGCCAGGCGCAACATGCTTTGAAGTCCGTCAAGCTGTAGCTTAAATTTCTCCGCCTCGTCTGCATTGGTATCGATAGGCTGATTATGGTTTAGTTGCAATGCATGGGCCGAAATAACTTCGGATAAAACATCCTTGAGACTTTCAGGCGGATGTTGAAGAGTGACAGATTCAATAGATGATTTCATCTCCGCCAGTGAAGAAGTAACTTCAGACAGATCAACTGTGGGAGTTACTTCGTGCTTGAGGGGCTGATTGATAGACAGAGCTTGAACCACAATATTCTTAATCTTTTCAGCCAACCGGTCTTGTTTGTTTAGTGGAGATCTGGACCTATATCCAGATCCCCCTTCCTCGTCCTCGTCATCAGCGTCGCTATGCTCAACCGTTCCCAGGCCAGCCTTCTGCTGTTTAGAAACGTTTTGAGAGCCTATGAGTGCAAGTGATTGGCGAATAGCACCTAGCGAGCGTTCCAAGGGGGCAAGGCGGCCATCGAGGGAAGCGCCAATTAATTTGTCGACATGGGTCTCGAAGAAACGAGTTCTGTGGTGGAATTCTTCATCCTCGCCAGAAGAAATAGCATCATCCCAGTCACTAATGTGCTCCTGCACGTGACTATTCAACTGGCGCACTGGGGACTGAGGGTCGCGTTGTAGAGCAAGGGTAGGTGGGTGTCGAGAAGTTTCATCAAGACTTTGATTTGCATGCAAGCTCGGGCTGGGGGCATTGCTGCGAGCAATAGAGCTTGGGACAAGCTTTGGTGCAATGACTTTGTCACTGATGTTTTCAAACACACTCTGTAGGGGAAGGGGAGTTCCAAGCCTCTCAACTCCAATACTAGAATCACCGTCATTTAACTGTTTCATTACCGCATCGATATTATCCTCGTCCGACGAGTCTTGGACGTTTACGTCGAGCTGGCCCATCGATTGAAGGCTGACTTGATCGGATACATATTTGATAGGTTCTGGGGAAACGGATACGGCGTAGCGGGAGGCTTTCAACCCAGTCTTTTTCCTCGGGGCTGGTTCAGGGGTACGTGCTGGTTCAGGGGCTCCAACGTGGGAACTAGCAGGAACAAACTCAAATGGCGTTGCTGTGGGTTTTAATGCCGATGATTTAGACTGACCGTTATGGTCGTGGTCCTCTATTATATGTCGAATACTCCGATCTAGTACCGTAGACGCAGTCGAGTTCAGCCGTGAATGCCGTTGTTGATTATGTTTGAATGGATTGTTTCCAGCTGTAGAGGGAAGAACCTCATTGAATGTAGCAGCATCTGTCTTGTTTTGAAATTCGAATGGTTTCCACTCATTATACCGAGCATCATCTTGCCCCGCTGATACTGCTTGCTCGATTGTTTCTCCGACAGTTCGTTTCCGGTTCTGATCAGGCGTTCGAGATATTCCGTCCGATGTAGCTTCGACTGGTTCTGGGGTTGAAATCCCAATGGGGGATGCAGCGTATACTGGCTGTTCTTCTTCACCTTCATTTACCCCTTGGATTCGACGCGCGCGTTTTTCCCTTCCTTGAGCTCCAGAGCGAGAAGGTTCATTATCAAAGGATTGGTTGGTATTATGAGATACTATGGGGACATCAGGCTTGACTATAGGGATTGCTTTCGACTCTTTCGCTGGACGAACAATAGTTGAAGATTCAAAAATCTTAGCGCGCGGGCCATGATTTTCCTGGCCCATGCCGAAGGTAAAGCTTGCTCCAGGGTTAAAAACTGGGGCAGCAACATTGAAAGTAGCGGCCGAAAATTTGAAATTGCTGTTTGATGGATCAAAATTCGGAAGCTGCTGTTTGGCTGCGGAAGGTTCGAAACCGGTCATATGTGCACTGTTAGAATTGCCATGTGAATGATTGGAGTTATGTAGAGAACGAGAGGCATCATGGCTTGAGAAATTAGGCTGGAAAGTTTTAGAAGCGAAGGAGAAGTTGCTTGGTGAAAACGATCTCGTGGGGTCAAAAGATTTGGCAGCAACGTTGAGCTTCGGTACAGAATTCTCTGGCCTATGCGTCGATAATAACGAGTTTGCCTTAGGCTTCTGTTCATGGGTGTGGTCCGCAAACTGGTTACATGTGGTATAATCATCAATGGGTGAGGG